TAAGCACGAACAGTTGTCCTAATATAATGTGATCGATCTAATTAAATAACTCGATTCACATGAATGTTGAATTCAGAAGCACGTATTTATTTAAAATTGAATGAATCGATCTGGAAAAAAATAAAATCGGTACACCTTCTTCTATCAATGTCGCAACTGGAGTTGCTTCGATCTCCATTGAATCTGCTTCTGCCGACATTTGCAGACAAATCTCATGAACTTTACGAATGTGATGATTTTGATCGACTTTTTCCTCTGGATATTTTGATATGAAGTTGGGTATATTTATTAGATCAATAAAAACGAGGTGTTTTACCTAATCAGATGATGAAATCGAAATTCGAACGGAGAAGGAAATTGAGATTGAGAAGGAAACCGCGGAGAATCGTGAGTGAGAAGGAAATTTGAGATATTTTTTCTGTTTTGGTGCGCGTAGAGGTTGAAATCGTGGATTTTGATGCTGACCGTAGATTTAAAAGCCAGATCCAAAGGCTGAGAATTGGTCTCACGTTCACATTTTAAGATGTGTACTCATTGGATCCTCCCCCTATATATATATATATATATATATATATATATATATATATATCCCTCTCTCCTCCCCTCCCCTAGACGTGGCCAATGGTTACGGCCCGGCCCGCCGGGTCGGCGTGCCTCAATATCATGGCCTGTGAATTGTCGGTTCACCGATCTAATGGGTTTCGGGCGATTTCGAGCCGGTACGGTCCTTAAAAAAAATAATAATTAATAACACTGTGGTCCCTCGTCCAACCCGCGGTCCGCTCCGACCCGGCACAACCCAGCCCCCACCGACAGAACAAAATAAAAATAAAAATTATGAACCGGGACCGAACCGCGACTCTATGGGTCTGGTTCAATGAACCGGTCCTTAGGAGCCCGGTTCAGGTCCGATTCGGGCTGAATCGAGACCCGTTCACGGACCGATGTGGCCCGTGCCCATGTCTACCTTCCCCCTCTATTTCCCCAACCAAGCAACCCCTAAATTGACTTGTCCTCGTGCTGTAACTGTAAAAAGGCATCCTCGAGTTTCAAACTCCCTTTTCATAGTTAATTCTCCTACATTCAAGGTAAATACTCCATCTCGTAGCTCCACAATCCTTGGTTATGTTCTTGAAATGATTTAAGTGAATGGAAATCTACTGCGCGTCGATGTTTTCTCTTCTTTGTTCTCCTCTTTTAAAATGAAAGATGAGAATTTGCGTCTTTTATGCTTGTCAGCTATTAACACCCTGTGCTCGGGAGTCTTGTGAGGATGTTCTGCAATAGCAAGAATCTTCAAACTCACATCCTCTTTTAAGAAGTGCAGTTTAAGCTTATAACGTTTATTTGGCTATTCCAAGGGTCCCTTGTTGGTAGTGCCCACAATGTGTTTGATATTTTGTTTGTTTGGTTTTATTGGTATGAATCAAAGCTGTGAGAGCCGAATTTATCTGTATTGTTGTTGTTTTCTCAGTGGTGCAGGTTAACGAAGTAACCTGTGATTCTCTTTACAAGTTGTAATCAATCATACCTCTTCCCCCTTCTACTCACACTTTTCAAGAAGTGATGATGATGATGATGATGATGGTAAAATCTAAGTCACTTCACCAAGTCCACTCCCTCCTCGTACGAACTTCCATGCTGCAGGACCCTCACGTGGATTCGCTTCTTTATTCCGTCACCAATTTCCTCATAACCTACCAAAAAAGGGCTCACAGCACCTCAACCTCCCCAGACCTAAGCTCCAAAAATCCCCTTCTAACCGACTTCCTCATGAAATCCCTTGAATTCCCCCACCACAAAGCGACCACTATTTCCAGCCGGTTCCCGCGTGAATCCATACAAAAGCCCGAATTGGTCATCCGCTACTTCAAATCCCTTGGCCTCTCCACCGCCCATATGCAATTAGCAGTCATACGCCATCCACTTGCCTTATACGCAGATGTTGACAAGACCCTGAAGCCCAAAGTCGACTTCTGTCAAGAACTGGGCCTGCGTGGACCCCACCTGCCCATCCTAATCGCCAAAAACCCGAAACTCCTAACCAGCAGCCTCGACAAAAGGCTAAAACCGAGCATCGGGGTCATCAAGAGAGTCCTCGAGTGCTACCGGGGAAAAAGTACAGATGACGAAATTAACCTTCTCCTTTTCCACATACTCTCAAGGTACGGCTGGGTCCTTGGGAATGAGGCGAGACTGGAGTCCAACATAGCTTACCTGAAGAGCTGTGGGATAGTTGGCTCTCAACTGATCATGCTTCTGAAAACTGATCTTAGGTTGGTCTCCATGCGTGAGCCTGAGCTTAAAGGACTCGTCTCGCGGGCTGTTGATATGGGCATCCAAATGAGCTCAAGAATGCTGGTCTACGGTGTTAAGGCACTCCGCAGCAATAGCCCAGAGACTATTAGCAGAAAGTTTGGGCTATTTGAAGAGCTTGGATTTAGAAAGGAGGAGTGTAGTTTGATGTTTGTGAAGGCGCCCGTGGTTTTCAAGGCGTTTGAAGACAAACTGAGGCGTTCGGTGGACTTCTTCATCAATACTCTTGGGTTTAACTGGTCGCTGCTGGTGGGGTCTACTTTTTTTTTGAACTTGAGTTTGGAGAGGAGGATGGTGTCGAGGTTGAGAGTGATGGAGTTGGTGAAGTCGAGGGGAGTTCTGAAGAGGCATCCGAGTTTTGTTATGGTGGTGTTGATGACGGAGGACGAGTTTGTGAATCAGTTTGTCTCCAAATACGCCAAGGATTTGAAAGTGGCTTACGAGAAATGGCATTTGGGGTCTTCCTAACTTGCCGATATCAAGCATTCTTGTGTGCGTGTGTGTGGTGGATGTGTGTGTGTTTATTTTCTTTTATATTATGAGAATTCTGTAATTTGCCAAGGTTTTAATGTTTCTTATGTTGGCGCACATTGTGATTTTGGTAAGAGGAATCATGTGGATTCTTGAACATGATACTCTTAATTTAATCTTTTTTTTTTTTTTTTTTGGTACAGGGACCTTCCGGTTTCCGGATCCACAGGGGCACCGACTAATTAGGACCACAAGGGCGGCAAAGCTCCCCCTCAAGAGTTTGAACACTGTTGCATTTTCAGGGCTCGAACACGAGACCACTGGTTAAGCTGGAAGAGACCCATGCCATCTCATCCAAGCGCTCTTGGGTCTTAATTTAATCTTCAGTTAATAAGCTTCCGATAGGATACAATGGCTGGCTACAAAAAAATTAAAAAATAAATCCTCCTTATATATTATTCCCGAATGCGCTGAGCCTACGTGTCATGTGGGGGCGCCAGTATACTAGGCGCCGCCGTGCCAGGGACCTGCGCCGTGCAGCGGAACGCGCCCAGGCTGCCCAGGCCACCGAAAGTGGCTAAGTTAGGAAATAGAATAATTAGAGTGGCTAAGTTAGGAAATAGAATAATTAGTCAATTATCTATATTTAGTTGCTATTTCTGTTCCTAGAATTAAGGAGTGATTAGTTGGCGGCCAATGGCCTTATATGCTGTAAACCGCACATTGATAAATTAAGCAAGATTAAACCTATCTAATCTCTCTTCTCTATCTCATAAGCCGGCGGCTAGGGGCATAACCCTTCCGACGAAGAACAGCGGCGTGGGGGTATAAGCCTGCCGAGTCACCACGGATCGAGACTACGAACTACGTAGTCGAGGTCCGGCGTCTCTAGGCATCAACACCCTTGACAACCTGGTATCACGGTCACGTCGATCCTCTTCTCCAGCCACCACTTATTCCAACGCAGCCGCCACCACCACGCCAGCAGCCACGCCAACCACCAGCCCTCCCCCATCTCCGCCTTCAGCAACCTCCTTCACGTCGAAAATGGGCGCTGATCCGTCCAACGCTGATCTGGCCAAGATGATTGAGGCCCTCACGGGAACAATCACCTCCCTGAAAACCGACGTCGAGCAATTGAAGAAGGACAAAGGGAAGTCCTCGTCGTCATCGGCTGGGGGCTACGGCGACGGCCAGCACCATACTGACCGCCCACCCCGTTTCCAGAAGATGGACTTTCCGAGATATGATGGCAAGTCCGATCCGCTGATTTTTATCAATCGCTGCGAGTCGTTCTTCCATCAACAGCGGATACTTGAAGAGGAGAAGGTGTGGATGGCCGCCTACAATCTGGAGGAGGGCGCCCAGATGTGGTTCATCCAGGTCCAGGAGGACGAGGGCAAGCGGCTGACATGGGGCCGTTTCAAGGAACTCATCAACCTTCGCTTCGGCCCTCCCCTGCGATCGGCGCCGCTGTTCGAGCTTGCGGACTGCCGCCGCACGGGCTCCGTGGAGGACTACCAGGATCGCTTCCAAGCGCTCCTTCCCCGCGCCGGGCCGCTGGAAGAAATCCAGCGCGTGCAGCTGTTCATCGGCGGCCTCCTACCGCCGCTCAGTCATGCGGTGCGGATTCTCAACCCGCAATCGCTTGCCTCGGCCATGAGCTTGGCTCGTCAGGTGGAGTTGATGGAGGCGGACAAGGTCCAGGCGGCTGCGGCTCCACCCCCAGCACGCGCGGCGCTACCAGCTCCACCGCGCGTGGCGCT